GTCCAGGGGGCCTCGGGATGATTTCAGATGGTTGACAGAAGGATTTTTGAAGTTAAGAGATTGCTGGTTCAGTTGGTACCTGTCATAACCGCACCTGCGGTTTGGGTTTCGCAGGTGCGGAGCCGTAGAAGCTGAACTTGGCTATCTTCTCAGGAATCGCAGATGCGGTTAAAAGTTCGCAGAAGCGGAACCACAGATGTGGTTAGTGTTCCGCAGATGCAAGAATTGGGTCGTTAAGAAAAAGTCGGAGATGCGACATTAGTACCGCAGATGCGAAAATCACTGGCCAGAACCTATAAATAGTTACCTTCGCAAAATTTAGGGATTCTTTCACCATTTTCATCCGGGTTTGAAGGTTTTGAGAGAGATTTTTAAGGAAAACAAAGGGGAATCACTTGGAGGTAACATCCTTGACTTCATAACTCATTTTTATGTGATTAAAGACCTAATTAATGGTGAAAAATTTGGGAATAATGGGTGATTAGGGCTTGAGTTTAAGAGACCTTTAAATGAGGATTTGAGGATCCATTTAGACTCCGATTTCAGTGTTCTTGTTATGTATAGACTCGTGTGAGTACGAGGTTTCTGAAAATATAAATTTCACCCGATTCCGAGACGTTGGCCTAAGGGGCATTTTGGTCATTTTACATAATTTCGCGTATTAGCTTAGAATTTAATTGTAGAATCAGTTACTTGAAGTGTTATTTACAATATGCAATTGAATTGAATAGATTTGGGCCATTTGGAGTCGGATACTCGTGGCAAAAGTGTGGTTTCGAGTTGATTTTGAGCCGGTTCGAGGTAAGTGGCTTGTCTAACCTTGTGGGGGACCTTCCCCTTAGGATATGCTATATTTGATAATTGAAATGCCTTGTATGTGAGGTGACGAGCGCGTACTTGAGCTAATTGTTGAAAAATCCGATTTTTCCTTAAGTATTTCAATTGAGATCTTTTTCCTGTTTTAATCTACTTGTAAATTTAGCACGTTGTTAGTTTAGAAAAGCATGTTTAGTTGACTTAATTGTCTATTTGCTTAAGCTGCTTTAATTTCATTACGTGAAACATGTTAGGCTAGAATTAACTGTTTACTTGGTACGAAATTAGCATTTAATTTAATATTCTTGTGTTGTTGCTCTGTGTTTTAAATTGGGACTACGGGACGGTATCTCGGGAGATCCTCTGTTCGTATTGATGACCTGGACTGAGGTATGGGATACCAAGAGATCCCTAGCATGGAGATTGAGGATACGAAGAGATCCTCGGGATACTAAGAGATCCCTGGCATATATTGAGGATACCGAGAGATCCTCGGGATACCATGAGATCCCTGTCATATATTAAGGATACCAAGAGATCCTCGGGATACCAAGAGATCCCTAGTACATGTTGAGGATACTAAGAGATTCTCGGGATACTGAGAGATCCCTGGTTACTTTCCTTGTGGTTTGCCTTCATCTCTGTTTTCTGTTATTGTACTCTTATTATCCTATAAAGATTCCTACTATAGATTTTCAATTGCATTGCTTATTTTATCCTGTCATCTTTATATTTTATTTAACCTCAGTAGGGCTCTGACCTTCCTCGTCACTACCCAACCGATGTTAGGCTTGACACTTACTGAGTACTATTGTGGTGTACTCATGTCTCTTCTGCGCATGTTTTTTTTCATGTGCAGATCCAGGTACCGCTACTCAGGCCTTACCATCCTTGAGGGAGGCGACTACTTAGAGACTTCGAGGTACATCTGCTGCGTCCGCAGACTGAGGAGTCCTTTTCTATTCCTGCCTTTAGTTTTTAGCCCTTTTGTACCTTTCTGTTCTTATTAGACATTCTGGAGTTAGAGCTATGTAGTGTTTTTCTTAGCTTGTAATTCATAAGTTTTCGGGTCTTGGATTTTGATATTGGTTTTGAGATCTATATAAATATGGTGTATGTCGAGCGACACATTTAATATTGTTATTGCCTTATTTCTTTTTTAAATTGTTTTACTTCCGCAAGTTTTGGTTATCTTCCGCAAGTTTAGGCTTACCTAGCCGTAGAGACTAGGTGTCGTCATGATGGTTCACGGAGGGCGAACCGGGGTCGTGACAAAGCGAGTGAAAACCAAAATGTCGTTATTGTTGAGCGAGTGAAAACCAACCCTTTTTCGTTTGTTGGTGAGCGAGTGAAAACCAACTCTTGTAAACGTGGGTGGTAAACTCTAGAAACCACAAAAGTTGTACTCAACCCAATTTACAAAGAGCTCGAAAAGACGATACTCTTGCAACCCAAGAGGACTGGATTAGGATACCACATTGGTTCTGAACCAGTATAAAAATTCTGGTGTCATTTACTTTATCGCTCTCATATTATATTGTGTTCCTTTACTGTTTGTTGTTATTTACACTTGTTTAAATCGAAAGGACTAACAGTTTTGTGCTAAGTCAACTAAGCATGTACCGTAGTCGACCAAATTTTTTAATAGGCGTACAATTCACCCCTCCCCTCTTGTACTTTCATACAGATCCACCAACTACTCTATAATAGCGTAGAAGAAACTAAGCAAAAGACAAAGAAACGATAATCACACGAGTGGAAAGATAATAACAAAGTTAGGATTTAAGAATAAAGTTTATAGAAGATTAAATATTCAAAAAGATAAATCTAAATCATACGAAAGGAAACATATTCAATACATTATAGTTTTCTGCTTATAATCGCTAGAATATTTTGTATTTTGCTAGTGAATATGCTATAAATAATTTAGTTTTAGTAGGAGTAGCATAATAGGATTGGGAAATAGGATTTTGATTTCATTTACTTGTTGGCTTGTAACCATTTTCATAAATCCAAGGCCTAAGGAAAAATTTAATGTTTCATTATTTTTAAACTTAATATATAAATATATTTTTTACATATAAATTTATTCGGTACGGTTTGGTATTTTTTGGTTTATTTTCATAAAATAAAAATTTACCCTAATTATCGGTATGGTTATAAATTTATATAAAAACCTATAATTTTATTTTAAAACCTAAAATAAATTCGATACAATACAATTCAATCGATTTACTCGATTTATAAATATTTATTGACACCCCTAGCCGCATCATTTTGCTAGTATAAATGAAATGAACTGACTCTATTGTCAACTAGATTCTCTTCGACGTTTCTATTTTTCTAATTAAATAATACTTGTAAACAGGTGGCAGCCTACATTACTTTATAATTTTCGTCTCGCGTCTTGTTTAATATGACGTATAGCATTGTGACGTCAATGTGAGCATATTTAATGATTAATCTGGTCGTTGGATTATTTATCCCCTCCCTCACGTTGTCACGACCTATGATAAAAAAATATTATTTTAATACGAAGAAAATGCTACCCAAGATCACCATTATTTGATCATAAAGCAATAACATTAGAATTTATATTGTATCCAACCCTTTCAATTTTTTAAGTTTAGATTAGAAACAAATCAAACCATCTAAGATCTAACAAGAATTTGCGTGTAGTGTACGTCCCTAATCCTGTATTTAATTGAATCATTGTCTAAAATTTCTTCTAAAAATATTCAGTACCTACCAAAAAAGCACTATCGTGAGAACGTGGGCAAATGTGGATTAACCAACGACCATGATCCATCATTGAAATTAGTGCTGAAAATATTTTTAAGAAGAAATTTAGCTAAGCAAAACTTATATTATATGCCCAAAATGCGACGAGTGCGGCCAATAGAGCAATTCCAATATATTTTACTCGGTTCACAGTGTTACTACACCATAGAAAAATAAATTTATATTTCATAATGTATTAAACTTGAACACTTATCGTAGATACCAAAGGTTATTGATTATATAAATATTTATTGATTCATTCAAATAAACGGAAAACTCGCGTCTGACATGAATGGAACTTTGAAATGAAGAGTAAACAATACTGTAATAATTTACTCGTAATTTAATTAAAGTCTCCGGACCAGCTGACACGTTTTAAATTCGTGAGGGCCTAGGTCTAGAGCGGACAAAATTACTAGCGGGTTGAGCTGTTACATATGGTATCAGAGTCACTCTTGTGTCAGCTTTGCCGATGGTGGGTCAGATCAGAGTTCAACTGAATTTAGGCAAATCCTGGTTAGGCGGGACAAACCTCAGTGCTGAGTCTAGGCGAATTACATGCGGTGGGGCAAAGCTCAGCGAGGACGCTGAGTCCACAAGAGGGGTGTATGTAACACAACAGAGTTCAACTGCGATTTTTTAAAAATCGTTATATATTCTTACCTTTCAACCACCACTACTAATTTAATAACTCTAAATACAGCTGACAGCCCATAAAAATATTTGCTAGTGGATACCCTTTCAGCATTTCTCTCTCGGAGGGAATCTAAGTTCTTTATGTTATGAAAAGACTGGAGTGAATTACGAATGAGTAGTATAACAAACACTAAATTTAGGTCCATCTGTATTTCAATGGTATCATAATAAAGAGCTTTAGTTTTGAAACAAAGACTAACTGGGCGTTTGGACATAAGAATTGTGAAATTTCGAAAAAAGTGAATTTTTAAAAAAAGTAAAAATGGTATTTGCAAATTAGCGTTTTATTTGGATATGAATACAATTTAGAGTTGTTTTTGAATTTTGTAAGTGATTTGAAGTGAAAATTTTGAAAAACAGCTTGTTGGAGGTTTTCAAATTTTCGAAAAATTCAAAAATTTAACTTAAAGTGAAATCTGAAAATTTCATGGTCAAACACTGATTCGAAAGAAAAATGAAAATTTTTCGAAAAAAAAGTGGATTATTTTTTATGGCCAAACGGGCCCTAAGCTTCAGTTTTACAAGTTATTCTGTATGTAGCAAAGCTGATGCTCCAGTAGCTTTTATCTAGATTCAATATTAGTATTGAAAAATTCATTAAATGTAACAACATTTAACTTGGAACCCAGTCCGTTAATCCAATTATTAATATATATTAAGTTGAGATTTCTTTAAGAACCATTAACTTAAAATTCTGGATCTGCCCCTCTGCTTATACTATACACTATATCATTATCTATATGCAAAAATTATAGAGCAAACACACAAGTACATTGAACGGAACAGTGAGGAAACACCTGAAGCCATTACAAAATCAATAAACGATAGAATATAATTATACCGATCGACTACTTTAAAGTACTGATGAGAGCTAGAACTGTTTGTGCAACTGTAAGCAGAAGGAGAATGATGGCTGCCGCAGTTGAAATTTTCGCCCAAGGGCTATTAAGATAATTATGCCTCAAACTTGCCATGTTTTCATTCCATGGTTTTTCACAATGCTCAATCACTTTTCTGCATTCCACTTTGTAAAAGAAATCAGTTGAAGGGATGACACCTTCTCCTAGTTTGTTGAACATGATAGCCACTTCTTCGTCATCTCCTATCCTATTTCTGATAATTCCGTTCAACCGAAGCAAATTCACATCTTTGCCTGAGTTAATAAGATGGTCCATAAAGATTACATAATCCGTGAAATATTTCGGATGCACATCAGATGAGTGTTGTTCGTAGGCAATGAGATTTCTCAGAATAGTCTCTGTACTATTAACGACCTCAAAACAAGGGATTTCAAGCAATCCGTTATTGAATTTGATATCAAATAAACTTATAGCATCCTCTTTGTTGTTTTTGTTCAACTTTCTATAAATTTTCCCAACATTTGAGAAGCGAATTCCAGCTTCATCAAGTTCTGTTGCACTTCGCATGCGATCGTGCCATAAGTCGCCGTCCTTAGTTTTAAACTTCTTTTTGGACTTACCAATTCGCAAAGGATTCCAGTTACAGCTTTTCTTGCTACTTCCTTTTTTCTTTCTGCTATTCCTAGTTAGGCCAGTGTTCATCTCTGAAGGGCAACAACACATGTGTACTACTTGAAGTAAATGTTTGATTTCTTCGGCATCATCATCATCAGTTGCATTTATGAATTTAGGAGTCACTTTTGGTAAACTACTACCAAAGTTGTATTTCACCATCTGTATAAATGGGGCGTCTGTAGGATCCTTAGTCATCTCGTGAAGTTTGGCGAGGATAAAGAAAGGAAGTTGGTTTTCTAGTAACAATAAGTCACGATCTACTAGAGATTCCATCCAAGCCGCGTCGATAATCTTGTCTTCTCCTTCTGGCACCCCTTCGTAAAACTCTCGGATATACTCAACCACGAAGCAGCCATCAAGTAACAGCAAATCTGAAAATTTGCTAATAATATCACTTTCAAGGTCCCCTATATCATCGTAACACTTTAGTGCTTCATCCTTTAGTTTCTCCATTTCACTAATGTAATACTCCACATCTCTCCATGCTTTCCTCTGCAGAAATCGTTGTTGGTAACGCAGTTTATATTTTTCCATCGAGCGAAGTCTCGGATTCTTTTTATGGTAAGGACCAATGGAGATCAACTTTGGGATATAAGCATCTGGATTTGATTCACATAGCCCCACATTTACTTTAAATATGGTAGATGATCCTTCATCAAAGACTTGATTTGTTGATTCATTTGTTTGATCTGCTGTCCTTATCTCGATTACATAATCCGCTTTCCCACCTTCTTGTATCTGTAATTAGTGAAACAAGGTTTCTTTTGAGTTTTTCTTTTGAAAGGGTGCTTTGACGTAATTGGTAAAGTTGTTGCCATGTAACTAGGAGGTGACCGGTTCGAGCCTTGGAAACAGCCTATTGCACAAATATAAGGTAAGACTGCGTACAATAGACCCTTGTGGTCCGACTCTTCCCCGAACCTTATACATAGTGGCTGCCCTTTTTCCTCCTTTTTGAGTGTTTTCGTTTCGGACTTGTGACTAAAGCAGTCAGTAATAGATAGGAAGTCTATATTTACTACCTTAAGAAACGTGAAATGAAGAAGAACAAACGATCTTGAAACGTTTACAGACCTGGAATTTTTGGACAATATATACTTAACCATACATCAAATTAAGCTAATTAAGTAGCCTTAAAAGCCCATACAAACAAAAGGAATGATAACTATTTAGTTGAAAGTTGAGAGAGGTGATTTACATATAATTTTGTACAATCAAGATACATAAAAAAGAAATCCAATGATCGTTATTATATTAATTAATAAATTATTGCTTATTTAAATCGAGCTTACGTTTATCATCAAATTCATTGTTCTTAAATCAGTATACTAACAAGATTTAGTTAATTCAACACAAGCACTTAAAACATCCCTATATTATGAGTCCACTACAGATACACTCCTTTGTATATATACCCCGTTATATAATGGAAATTCCTCAAAAAAATATTCATTGTTTAGGGATTGGGGGTTTTGGGGGTTTGGNATAATTTCTAGCATCCAGTCCCAGTTTTCTATCATGCTTTCATTTTTATTATGTTCCAAAAAAAAATATTATATTTATTTATTTAGAAAAAATCTAATTTTAAATTTTTCATTTTATCCGTAATGAGGTAATTTATAATCACACTTGTTTTGATATCAAACTTTCTTGAAGGTATATACGAGTATGATCTGCATACACTATATCCTATCCAGATCTTATTTGTGGGGTTATACAAGGTTGTTGTTATTGTTATTTAGACATCAAATCACTAAGTAAGAGAGAGAGAAGGGGGAGGGGAGGGAGAGAGAACTAACCACTTGATGACTGGCGACGGCAAAGGCGAAGAAAGAAGTAGCGGCAGTGGGTGAAGGCTTTAGCAACCGCGGGCGAGCTGGCGACTGTTGAGAGAGACGAGTAAGAATTTATTGAAGAGTTTAACTAATGAAAAAACTATAATTATTGAGGTATTCAATAAAATTTTCTCAAGATTTTTAGTATTGTCCTAATTAATTTGGGTTACATGATGTGGATAACAAAAAGGTAATGCTTGTGCGTGTGTTTGATTGTGAAGAGAGAGGAGAGAGACCTCATCTTTACTAGCTTCATTTGGAGGAGTTTGATCAAGCAGTGGGGTAATCTCAATATGCTGTGCCATCTCTCTTAGATAACTTTCTTCAAACTGCAATTTGAGAGAGATTTTTAAAAAATGTAATAGTAATATTTTGGGTCAAAACCAGCTCTTGAGGTTGTTTTGGGATTTGGGATTTGAGATTTGAGTTTTGGGAATTTGTCAAAATATAAATAAAATTTATGAAAAAATATGTATTTGCCAAAAAAATACCCAAATATCTTTTGGTAAAATCTATGACCAAATGGGTCCAAAGTACTTCTAATGAAAGAAACTGGGGTAAGTTTTTTATCTATTATATCTCAAAAAATAGGAAACAGAAAAGTAAGAATAGAAAGTCAGAAAGAATTAAGAGGAAGGATTGCTGTGAAGAGTAATTTCCATAAAGGAATCATAATGTAATTTGAGGTACCTAATAATGTATTCAAATTCTCCCGCATGACATAGACTGGAAGATGCAAACTTACCTATTTTTGGTTTGGCTGTTTCTTCTTTCCTTGATTCTCTTGCTTCTTCTGAATTATGTCTCTAAGAGGAATGAGATTATATAGTCAACGAGGAAGTTTTGGCTCGATCTGTCCTAAAACTTTCAATTCAGCTACAAGGTGTGTTATGTGTTATTAAACTATGATTCATAAACAGAAAATCTGAAAACAGAAGAGGGGGAGAACAGAAACGAAAATTAATTCTGAACCCACAAGTTTTTTGTGTCCTTAAAAAATTTAATTCTTTTACTATTGCTCAAGGTTTTATGTACTAATTCCTCACATAATAGAATGGAAAACTATTTTATAAAATTGATGATTCAATTTACAAAATTTCGGTGAACTTAAATAGCAAAGCAAATCATATGTAGACTCGATCTATTTTGTTTGTGAGAAAATATGCCGAAGAAGAGTGCAAAAACATGATTTAAAAAAAAAGAAAAAAGTAAAAATTAAAAATGTGGAAGAAACAGAAAATTTATCCGAGCCTACTGAATTCACAGTGTTTCCTTAAGGAATTTCATCCCCTCCAAATACCCTAGGTATATGATTATTTTCTTCTAGGATAGATAGGAATACCCTTATTGGTGCAGCGGTACTTCAAACCCCAGTGACCAATGAACTCAAAGATCAATAGCAAATCATACTTACTATTGCTTACTTTCTAGTAGAAAATAATGCAGAAGGAAGAAGGAGACATCAGAATTTTTGTAAGGAAAATGTGTGAGAAAGATCATGTATTTATAGCCAAAAAATTGGGTTTTATAAAATGGCCATTTACGCAAACCGCCAAATTTAAATTCTAAATCATTTGACTGAAATCCGAAATTCGTAGCCGAAGCCGAGCAAACGACGCGACGACGGCGCGAGGATTGCCTTCTTCTCAACTCTTTAAGAGCTAGAAGAAGTACAATTGTATATATATACTCATCAAAACTCTTTTCTTCCTCCAATATGGGATAATGTCCCTTTGTCAAAGACGGAATTTTAAATTTTTTATTTTTCCTTCATTTTCAATTCACTCTATTTGGAGTTATTCTAAGCTTAAACCCAGCAAGAGGTATAAGTTAAAAGGTGTCTTTTCCCATTCACACCTAAAAATTTCAACAATCCCCCACATGAATTGGAAATTGCTATATGATGAAAACATGCATGAAAAAATTGTGTGATTCGCAAGTAAGGATTAATTGCATCTAGATAAGTATATTTCCATTTGAACTAATTACCATAGTGAACATATGTCGGATATACTCGATCATCTGTAGATTTAATATCTTTGAACCGTCAAACTTTGGTGTATACCTAGGCAACTTTAAGTCACACAATTAACCTTTTAATTGTCTTTGATCCTTATTGTTCTGTTCATTTCAGTCATGAACATAGACTGGTTTTACAGAATAAGTGTGATAATCCAAAAGGGTCATCTTGTATATTAAAATCCGAATCCGGGTTTCGAGGCCTTGAAAACCTCATTTTCCTTCTCCTTGATTTGTGTGCGCAGTCTGGGCGCGTTTCCGAAAAGCTTTTATGTGAAATTTAAGAAAAATATTGAATTTGGCCTTTAAAATTGATTAAAGTTGACTTCGATCAATATTTTTAGTAAACGGATCCGTACCTGTGATTTGACAGTCCCGTAGGGTCCATAGTAAAATATGGGACTTGGGCATATGCCCGAAATTGAATTCCGAGGTCTCTAGCCCGAGAAAAAAGAATTTTTAAAGAAAAGTTATTTGTTGGAAAATATAAGGACTTTTGAAAAAGAAATGGTGTGTGATTCTTGATGGTATCAGGCTAGATTCTTATTTTGGAGCCCGGTACAGGTTTAATATAATATTTAAGTCGTATTTATTAAATTTGGTGAGGATCGGAGTTGATTTGACGTGATTCGGACGTCCATTTGTGAAAATAGTAAATTTGAAGTATTCTTGAGGAAAATCATGAGTTTGAGGTTAAATTCATAGTTGTTGATGTTATTTTGGCGATTTGATCGCACGAGCAAGTCCGTATGATATTTTTAGACTTGTGTGCTTATTTGGTTTGGAACCCCGAGGGCTCGGGTGAGTTACGGATAGGCTTCGGGGTGTATAGACTTAGAAAAGACCTGTGTTGAATAGTTTCAAAAAATTTCAGGTCTCTGAACCTGGTATTTCGTGTTCCGCGGTTGAATTTCGCAGCCGCGCGGGGGGATTCCGCTGCCACGGTGTGATTTCGCGATCAGCAGTGGGTAAGGCCAAAACATCCGTGGTCGCGGCCGCGCCCGTTATTTTGCTGTCAGCGGTGAGTTTCGCGGCCGCGGCCCTTTTTCTGCGATCAGCGCTTTGAGGATCTGTGAGAGCTATATAAACGGGACTTTTACATCTATTTTCATTTTTTCAAAACCCTAAAGCATAAGAGGCGATTTTTCAAATACTCTTTCTTCCCTAAATCATAAGTAAGTCATTTTAAACTTATTTCTTTCACTCCTTAACTTCTTTTTACAAGATTTCATCCTAGGATCTAGGGATTTTCATGGGGGATTGGGTGTTTTTGAGTAGAATTTAGGAATTTCGAAATTTGGGGATTTAGACCTCAAATTGAGGTCGGATTCCAAAACCAATTGTGAATCCGGGCTCGTGGGTGAATGGGTAATCGGGTTGTGGTCCGAATTTCGAGTTTAGACCAAGCGAGTCTAGGGTCGGGTTTTAACTTTTTGGGAAAAATGTTGGGAAATTTATAAGTAAGCATGAGAATTGAGTTCTTTAGCATTTAATGATGTTATTAAGTAATTTATGACTAGATATAAGCGGATTGGAAGTGGAACCGAGAGGTAAAGCGGTAATTGAGGCTTGATTTTAGCTGTGGAATCGAGGTAAGTGTTTGGTCTAGCCTTAGCTTGAGGGAATAAGTGTTGTGGTCTTATTTGCTACGTGTTAGTATTGAGTATGAGACATAGGTATGGTGATGAGTATCTATACGTTGGTGTCAAACATGTTCGTGAGTCTTATACCATGATTGTTTTGACTCTTATTATGTACTGTCCATGCTTAATTTGATGATTATCACTGTTGAACAAGATTTATGATAATTTCTTGGTAATTGACCATTGTTGAGTATTGGCTCAAGTTGAGATTTATTTCGTGAAGTAACAGTTGGAAAGAGATTGGTTATAGTTGATTCCCTTGCTGGGATGTATTTGTTTCTATTGTTGATTCTCTTACCAGAATGTATCGTTTTTGTTGTTTGGGTGAGGAAGAGTGTAAAGCACGAAGGGTGATGCTGTGCATGATATTGTGAGTGAGTGTTAATGCACGAAGGGTGATGTTGTGCCGATATTGTGAGTGTTAATGCACGAAGGGTGATGTCGTGCTGATATTGTTAGTGTTAATGCATGAAGGGTGATTCCATGCCATGATTTGAGAGCTAATGCACGAAGGGTGATGCCATACCATGATTATCAGAGTTAATGCACGAAGGGTGATGCCGTGCCAAATTCTGTTATTTCTTATGGTGTTAACGAGAGTAAAAGCACGAATGATGGTGCCGTGCACGTGTTACTGATTCCTTATTCCTGTTGATACAAATATGGTGTTCATTATGCTTCTCTATTGAATTATTGATAGAATTTGATATTTCCCGTAGCATGTTCCCTTTCCCATCTTTATCTGTTATTTCCTGTTATTATTGTTCTGTTCGTATATGACTAAACTACACAGGTTTATATGGTTGTCGTGTCCTGGCCTCATCACTACTTCGCCGAGGTTAGGCTCGATACTTACCAGTACATGGGGTCGGTTGTACTGATACTGCACTCTGCACTTTTGTCTAGATCTCGGTGCCGGATCTTGTGAGTAGATTCAAGGTTGCTGCCTTCAGTTCAGGGAGACCAAGCTAGATCTGCTGGCGTTCCCAGAGCCTGAAGTCCCCTTTCCCCGTTTTAGTTTCTTTTGTCTCTTCTATTTCGAGAATAGTTGTACTTCTTTTAGACTTATATTTGTAGTAAATCTTAATTGTTCTTGGATTGTGATACCAGATCTTTAGGGTAGCTATGTATTAGAACTATTGGTTTGCTATAGCTCTTCCGCATTTCATAATTATTTTATTTTAGTTATTATCTATTCCTGTTAAATTAATAATAATAGTGGTAAAACTGTAACTGTCGGCTTGCTAGCTTTCTCGAGTAGGCACCATCACGACTCCCGAAGGTTAGAAAATCTGTGTGACAAGTTGGTATCAGAGCACTAGGTTGCTTAGGTCTCACAATTCACGAACAAGTTAGGTATAGTCTGAGGGATCGGTACGCAGACGTCTGTGCTTATCCCCCAAAGGCTATAGATTTTAGGAATAACTTCACGTCTATTCATCTTTATCGTGCGATTTGACTTCTCAATGCTAATTGAACTCCTACTCTGCTCTTTCGGAGATGACAAGAACACGTGCCTCTTCATCTGCTGATCAGCAGCCCGAGCCCCTAGTGGCAACTCCTACGAGGCGCAAAGTACGAGGTCGAGGCCGTGCTAGAGGTCAAGGCAGGGGCATGGCTCGGCCTAGAGCACCAACACTAGCGGCAGAGCCTTAGGTAGAGTTTGATGATGAGGTTCCAGCCCAGACCATTCCAGCAGGGCTCGCTCAGGCTGTCTCTCAGGATAGGGGAGGAGCATAGACTCTCGCTACTTGCACTCCGGAGCAGATGGCTCCTCAGTTTCATACTCCAGCAGCTCAGCCAGTTAGGGTAATTCCGCCGGGTGTTGTAGCTTAGACCGCTGATAGAGCAGCTATGCCTTTTGGTGCCTTGTGGAGATTGGACAGGTTCACCAAGCTTTTCACTACTACCTATGGCGGTACATCTTTAGAGGATCCCCAGGACTATTTGGACAGCTGTCATGAGGTGAATAAGGGGATAGTGGAAACTAACGGGTCGACTTTGCTGCTTTTCATCTGTCAGGTTCCGCCAAAAATTGGTGGAGGAATTATTGTTTGGCCAGACCATCTGGGTCGCCTGCTTTGACTTGGGACCAGTTCTCTCAGCTATTTTTGGAGAAGTTTCTTCCTATCACCTAGAGGGAGGACTATCGGAGGCAGTTTGAGCGTGTCCAGCAGGGTTCTATAACCGTCACTCAGTACGAGACCTGATTTATTGACTTGGCCCGTCATGCTCTCCTTATACTTCAAACAGAGAGAGAGAGGGTGAGGAGGTTTATTGAGGGACTAGCTCAGCCTATC